TTTCCATGAGTCCCACCATCTCCCATGGTGGGCCTCTATAGATTTAGTGGACTCGCACCCTATCCCTTTTATCCTCCTTACTTTGATTCCCAGAGCAATCCTGCCCAACTTCACTCAACCCAATCTTATCACGCACCCTCCGATTGTGGAACTCGATCAAATTCTCAGCGGGTCTGATCTTGCCCCACTTACAGTTACTGCAAGTCCTCTGGTGCCTACTGTTCCCTCTGGGTTTTGACAATCTGAGGCAATTTTCTTAGTGTACTGACCATGGATTCTACGATATACACTCTCTTCTTACCCCTACTAGACCTCTTACATTTGATGCTCTCAGATCCTCTCATGATATCCTGTTACAGGAGCACTACAGCTACCTTCAACTGTGACACTTTTTGTCTCCGCTACTTAGAACTTAGCCCATGTCTTATACACTAACCCCTTTTGAAAGTTTTATGTAGGGCATGACCTTGATCCCAAGGCCTTATTTCATTGATTTACTCCTCAATAATAACTTCTAAAAAAAAAAACCCTCACTAAGACCATTTCACCAACAATGGGAATGTGAATTGGGGAAGTGACTCGACCCAGAGGACTGGCAAATCATGACAGCAGCAGTATCCAAAAGCTCTAAAAATGTGCTCATACTGGAAAATTCTTATAAATTTTAATACAGATGGTATTACACCCCGGTTAGGCTGGCACGCTTTATTCTTGCTTATGCACCAAATTGCTTTTGGGGATGTCCACAATCCGGTACGATGGCTCACATCTGGTGGTCTTGCCTGAAGGTATGCAGGCTGTGGGTCAGGGTCTGTGTTACTCTGCACTCTGCTACACACGGATCTCAAGAGGAACCCCTATGAGGTCCTTCTCTGTAAACCGATTATGGAATTGCTTTGCCCTGAACGTCAACTGGCGGTGCACCTTTTCATAGCTACCTAAATTACCATAGCTAAAGCCCGGAAAACCCTGATCATCAGCTTTGAAGCTGTTAAGTCACATGAATGGCATTATGGTAAATGAAAAATTAACAGCGATATCAATTACCCCTGAGAAATTTCTCAGAGTTTGGCAACCCTGAATAACTCCTAATTGGCCATCTCGATTTGACAACACTCTTGTCGATAACAACCTGGTGTATTGGACCCTTGGGATTCTTCTTCCTCTTCTCTGCCTATATTTTATTTTCTTTAATCTCTGTTGCCTTTTTTTCTGCTTTTTCTTTTCACCCGCTTTCTTCGTGTTCAGTTGATGTAACGCTCTGATCAGGGCCATGGATAAGGAGGTACCACCAGTCCATCTGTACGGGGCCCAGATAGCTGGGTGAATTGGATGTGGGCAGGGAGGGTGATCGGGGGGGCAATTACTGGAACCGATCCCCCTGTATGTCTCTGTGCAGCAGCTAAAAGCTGGCTCCTTCTCTGGCTTTCAGCTGCTGCACAGAGAGCCCTACAGGGGATCGGTTCCAGTAATACCTCCCACCACACCCATCACCCTCCCTGTGCACCATACATTTCCCCCTTCTGCTCAGGCCCCTCTGTGTGCTGCCAGCTTCCCTCCTCTCCTTTCTAATGGCAGCTGTAAGTACACAAAAGGAACCTTTAGGATGGAGAGGGAGGAAGGGTCCTGTAAATATGTCACATTTACCAGCCCCTTCCTTTCCTGAATGAACACAATGAGTGATCAGTACCAATCATTCAGTGTTCATTCCTAACTAAACCATAGTCAACTGGGCTATTGTTTTTTTTTTTTTTTTTTTTTGTTTTTTGAGGAGTGGGCCTGTGCTTTCTAACATCAGCCCTGGCTCTGATTTGCTGGGCATCAGCCTGACCCTGACTGTTACGACCTATGTAACTTTTGATCTCATAACTGTCTCACGATACTCAACAATTTATGCATGTGCCTCATCTGACACATACCTTGAGCACGTTATGTTTTTCCCAACTATGTTATGTTACTTATGACTCCCATATTGTATGGTTGAGTACTCCAGATGCTGTGATAGTCACCTCTGAGTCACTTTCAACTGTCATCCTGTTGGCTCTGTTTGTTTGACTGAACATTGTCAATAAAAATCTTTGCAAACAAAATATTGGGGTTGTGTATTTTGAAGATTAGTGCTTTATTTATTTTTTTTCATAGAGGGTTTTTTTTTTTTTTTATTTGTAGCTTTCCCTGTTCCATTCAATTTTGCTCTACGCAAGTTCTGTTTCTCCCCCTTTCATATAATTTTGTTTTCATGGCCCTTCTACAATGAATAAGATCTCAGTTTATGCCTCAGTGAGTACAATAGCCATGGCCGCCTGCGTCTGTGTTGTGTGACAATACAAAGAATAGATGTTATCTAATAAAGCTCATTTTAAACCATAGCTGTGTTTTTCATTCTGCTATTTATATGTGATGTGCCATTACAAAAACCAGAACTGCCAAAAGGTCAGCTCTCAGGTCCTTGCTTTCTCCTTCCATGTCTCATGAGGTGACATGGAGGTCAACCAGAGAAACGAGAGACTTTGGGCAACAGCACTGGAAAATATTCCTTCTCTTCTTTGGCCCTGGTTTACACGGGAGTGACTTGAAGCACTTTTCTAGAGAGGTTCAACACTCATTATGAGGATTCCTATTGTATCCTTTGGTTGTTGTTCACAGCTGAGCATTGTGTTTTTCATTCTGCTATTATATGTGATGTGCCGTTACAAAAACCAGAACTGCCAAAAGATCAGCTCACATATCTTTGCTGTTCTTGGTTTCTCCTTCCATGTCTCATGAGGTGACATGGAGGTCAACCAGAGAAACCAGAAAGACTTTGGGCAATGGCACTGGGAAATATTCCTTCTCTTCTTTGGCCCTGGTTTACACGTGAGTGACTTGAAGCACTTTTCTAGAGAGGTTCAACACTCATTATGAGGATTCCTATTGTATCCTTTGGTTGTTGTTCACAGCTGAGCATTGTGTTTTTCATTCTGCTATTATATGATGTGCCGTTACAAAAACCAGAACTGCCAAAAGATCAGCTCTCAGATCCTTGCTGTTCTTGGTTTCTCCTTCCATGTCTCGTGAGGTGACATGGAGGTCAAGCAGAGAAACCAGAAAGACTTTGGGCAATGGCACTGGAAAATATTCCTTCTCTTCTTTGGCCCTGGTTTACACCGGAGTGACTTGAAGCACCTCTAGAAGTGGTTCAACATTCATCATGAGGATTCCTTTTGTATCCTTTTGGTGCTTGTTCACACCTGAGCGTTGTCACTTGACGCTTGTCCTTCAAAGCTCAAAGTACATGAACCTCTGTGTGATGCTGGTACACCACCAAGATGCCATCGGTCATATTTGATCAACCCCTACATAGCCTACTACCCCTCAAAAGTCTTTTTTTTTTTTTTTTTTTTTTTTACAGGTTTCAAATGCCCCTTTTGTTATCCTATGTGTCCATGCACACAGACTTTTAGAAGCTTTCAGTAGCAGGGGCTTTTAGGAGCTAAAAAAAAAAAAAAAAAAAAACTGTCAGTGTGTCCAGGAGCAGCTGCATTTTGGCAGAATAAAATGCTTGACACGTGTAAATGCATGTTTAGCACTTGAGATTTAAATTATGTCAATGACCAGAATAAATTGTTGTTCCGGCCAATGAAATGAATGAACACCCAAGCACTTGACACGGGTAGACATGCCTATCAGCTTTACTAATATGACAAGGTTGCCTAATCCCATTCCCAGAGATTTGAATGACCACTGGAGGGAGAGTTTATATACTGTATATAATAAATGCAAAATTCAAAATCTAGAACAGGAAAGAAGTAAAATATGAAAGTCACATCAAAAATCATTTTTATGTAAATACAATAACTTAATGTTAAATACACACACAATAGTTTGCATTTAAAGGGTAAGTTAAAGTATTATTAAACCCACTACAGTGAAATCAGTCTGTATATGCAGTAAAGCATGTTTGCGATACTCACTGTGGAGCCTAAGGGGTTAATACTTTGCATTGTGTGAAAAGGCTGTTTGATCCGGTCTTCTCTGATCCTCCCCTTCTACCACAGGCACAAATCCATCTGCTGATAGTACAGAGCCTTGGGGGCAAGCTGCACATGCTCAGTTTGGTGTGTAAACGTAAAACAGGAGGAGCTTCAACTCCAAATTCTTATGAAAGTTTTTATTGGTGATTCAGGAGTGACATAAAAGCACGCTGATGCATTTGGGCAAGTAGCCTTGATCACAGCATATGCTGTAATGCTACGCTGTGATCAAGGCTACTTGCTGAAATGCATCAGCGTGCTTTTATGTCACTCCTGAATCACCAATAAAAGCTTTCATAAGGATTTTGGAGTTGTGGCTCATCCTGTTTTTCGTATATTGCAGCCAGTGTTTGGAGGACATTTTAGCGCCCGAGCACTCTCCTTGGATTCCACCATTTAAATTAAGGTGTGTTTCCGGTCTGAACACTGCTTCTCTGCTACTTTATCAGTTTGGTGTGAATTGCTAAAAGGTTTTTTTTTTTTTTTTCTGGGAGGGTGTATGTGATCAACACAGGGCCAATCAGCGCTGTCCAGAGAGAGGGGCAGGGGTCCTGCAGCCTCATGGGACAAGCAGGGGAGATTGAAAACTTCTCCTACAAGCATTAACCAGTGCTCTGCTAGACACTGATAGAAGTCACATGACTGATCTAACTGCTGATGAGAAAAGGTATTTAGAAGTTTATATTTACTAAAATAATTGCATTTCCATGTTGTGTGTACTGTGGGAGACCAGATATAGTGAATGCAGTGTCCAGGGTTTAGTAACACTTTAAAGCAGAACTGAGCACCTGAATTTATTCACTACCACCTTCCAGTGATACGGCACTTGCATCCCTTACTTGCCGCTGTCATCTTCCCAGGGTGCAGGGTTTTCAACCTCTTGACTGGCTGGTGGGGTGGTGACATCATACAATATATATATATATATATATATATATATATATATATATATATATATATATATATATATATATAAAATGTGTGTACTGTGGGAGACCAGATCTAGTGAATGCAGGGTCCTGGGCTTAGTAACACGTTAAAATGATCCTTTGATTCACCTAATGAAGGAAGTGTGGAAGGGCCCTCTTATTAGTATTTGGCTTCCTCATGGGTGGGCTTTATAAAGAGAGGAAGTCCACGCTCTGCAACTATTTTAGAGCTGGTTCATACTATAGAAACGCAGTCCAGATGTGTTCCGGATGCATTTCTGCATGTGCGTTTAATGCATTCCGGTGCTTTTTAAATGCTTTGTGGTTCATTTTCTCCCCTCTCTTTTTCTTCGATTTTAAATAGGAACGTGTGTTTTTGATGCATTTTACTGCGTTCCAGCGCAGTTCTGTGCAGGAAAAATGCAGCCTGTTCTACTTTTTGTTTCTGCAACCAGAACACACTGGACCTGCAAGCATTGATGTGAACTATGACATTGGCAACCATATAACCTACTTTCTGTGCATTTTGGATGCAGAAAAAAAGCAACTGACATGTATGTAGTGTGAACTGGCGGGGAAAACCCTTCAATGAAGAACTCCATAACCATGACATTTTAGGAAAAACTTTGAAACTTTATTTGAAAAAATACACTGTTGGTGGGGTGCCCATGCCTCTACCGTTAGGCACATGCAGAAGGCCAGAAAAACAAATATGATCTAAGTGTGGCCCCTCTTTAACCAGCAAAAAAAAATGATCTTCGCTGCCTTGGTACCATAGGATCTTCTGTTGTCACAGCTGTGTGTAATACATGGGTCAAATTCCAAACAAATTTTCTTACGAAATTGGAAATTTCGTGCCTTTTTGTAATCCAATGGTGCCAATGTTGATTCGAAATTCAACCAACCAAGTCTTCCATTTCACCTCATATTGCTAGAGAAAAGAATTTTTGTCCTCAAGAATTTTCTTTTCTTTCCACATCACAGCTCATGCTCATTTATTGTTTATATTTCCCCCCACAATTCTTCCATCATTAATTCCAAATTTTTAGTTCATTTTTCAAAAAATTTACAACATGCTCAATCACTCAAATTCGATGATCGCATGAAAATCGTCTGTTTCTGTGACCCACTAACTGTACGAAATTTGGACGAAAATTCTTAAAAAAGATTTTCTAAAGAAAATTCTTTTGGAATTCAACCCATGTATGGCCGGCTTAAGGTGTGCGCCAATCAGGTGAAAACCTTGTACACCAAATGGTTGTTGATCATTTTGTTTAGCCTCCATCATTGCATTCTGAAACAAAAATCAAAGACAGATTAATATTTTTCAGTCATTTTACCTTTTTATATCTTGACAGAAGTTCCAATTTATTCTTTTGACCGAAAATGATCACTTTGCATTAAGGTCACATGGCCTGTCTGTAAATAATACCATTACATAAGAATGTTTCTAATTGGGTAAGGAATGAGTTAAAACTCTTTTCTGAGATCATATTCAGAAATACTGTGAAAAATTGTATTTATTTTATACTTTCATGGTTATGAAAAAGTGGATTATGTTATATATACTAAGCAGCTTTAGGCCACATTCTCAGAGTATTATCTGCTACACTGAATATTGAAACTAATGAATGCTTCGAAATACAAGCCCCCTGGCAATATAAGCCTCTTGTTCTGGAAGGAAATACCAACTTTCCTGTATTTGATATGTAATTATCAGCTTCCAGTTCAAAAGCCAGAACTTTGGCATGCATCCCTTAAAGTGGTTGTAAACCTCAGAAATGAAATATGAGCAAAGCATATCCCTCTATAGTGTGTACGTGTCTCAATCCAGAGCACTCAGGAAGATTTACTAAAACAGGTGCACTCAGAATCTGGTGCAGCTGTGCATGGTAGCCAATCAGCTTTTAACTTCAGCTTGTCCAATTAAGCTTTGGCAATAAAACCTGGACGCTGATTGGTTTCTATGCAGAGCTACACCAGATTTTGCACTCTACAGGTTTTAGTAAATAACCCCCTAAGTGTCATTTCTGTCTGCTGCCTATTCCTCTGTTATCAGCATGAGTCACTTCTGGCAAGTGTTCCTGACACCAAGAGAAAAACGGTGACAGGGGAGGGAGCTCTAGCACACAGCCTGTGATTGACAGCCTCAGCTCTGTTTCTGTGTCTTGTGTGAAGAGGAGTGTATCCCTTCCCTCCAATCAGCTCTCAGAGCTCTCCTCACTGAGCTCTGCAGTTTGTAATTTCAGCTCCCTGTTTTCTGAAAGCTCAGACAAACTTTTTAAATTCTGGACTGTGAACAGCTGTAGAACAGAGAAGACTGCAGATAAACAGGTACAACATATAGAAGAGGATTTGTTTAGCCTCTGTGTATCACCTGAAGCTAGTCACTTTATATCATGAGCAGGGGAGGACTGACCATTTGGAAACTTGGGCACTGCCCGGGGTCAGTAAGGGGCCCCATGAGATGCCCCTGGTACCTTTTTCATAGGCTTTTTTGAGTTTGGGCAAGGACACAGGGGCCCCATGATCCCCTATTGCCCGGGGGCCCCATGAGATGTCAGTCCGCCCCTGATCATGAGCCTCTCTGCTATAGAAGTGAGGGTATTGCAGGGGTGATGGTATAGATCAGCAATGGGCAAACTACGGCCCGGCGGACCTTTTAATCCGGCCCGCGGAGCTAGGCTCCTCTCACAGTCCGCCCTGAAGACCGGTGTAGCATGAAAATCTGTCTCCTATAAGGATCTGTCCCCCTCGACGTATCTGCGCATGTGCCGGAGATCGCCGATCGGCTGCTAATGCCTGAAACTGGCACATGCGCAGATACGTCGAGGGGGACAGATCCTCATAGGAGACAGATTTTCATGCTACACCGGAACGGCGCGGGAACACGGCAAGAGGAACGCGCGGAGCAAAGGTAAGTGAATTGACACAGGGGGGACTTGGGGACTTAATATGGGGGATTAATTACTATGGGGGATGAATTACTATAGGGGGGATGAATGCTATATGGGGGATTAATTACTATGGGGGATGAACTATAGATGAATTACTATGGGGGATGAATTACTATATGGGGGGGATGGGGGATGAATACTCTATGGGGGATGAATTACTATATGGGGGGACGAATTACTATGGGGGATGAATTACTATATGGGGGGAATTACTATATGGGGGATGAATCACTATATGGGGGATTAATTACTATGCTTACTATGGGGGAATATTACTATACTTACTATGGATGACACATACACATCATTCATCTACTCCTGGTCCGGCCCCCGGGTCCAATATATGAACCCATTGCGGCCCTCAAGTCAAAAAGTTTGCCCACCCCTGGTATAGATGCTCTAGGTCAGTCTTTTTCAACCTTTCTACTGTCGAGGAACCTGGAGAACTTTTTAAAATCTAGTGACAACTCTGTAACAATTTTTCTCATATACAATTTGCGGTATAATTGGACCATTCTTCATAGTGTTTTTTGCCTTCCTCTGAGTGAGCTCTGGTTATAGGAATGTGTACATGGAGGTTTCTTTGTTGAACTACATGTTTTTTTGTTTTTTTTTTCAACCCGATTAACTATCTAACTGTCCTAGAAGGGGTGGCTTCAGACAATTTCTTGGGGGATGCTAGGAGTAAAGTCGTGACAAAAAAAATAGATGTGGCAAAAAGTGGGTGTGGTTACAGTGCACCTCAGAATTCCCCCCCCCCCCCATAATATTGGAAATTCCTTTTTCACATTAAAGGTTCCCCATCACATAAAATGTCTTCCATCATATTACAAGTCCCTATCTCATAAGTGTGTCCCGCCCCCCCCCCCCCCCCCCCATCACAATCACATCGTGTTTTTTTTTTGCACACCTTCACAGCAGAAGTGCCCCATCATGTCAGAGGTCGTCCCCCATCGCATAATAAGTCTCTCAATACATAAGGATCCCCCAATCACATCAGTGTCCCCCACCCCAATGACATCAGAGGTCAATTCCATCACACCAGGGTGCTTTCTTTTGCACATAAGTCCCACTTTCACATCAGTGATCACCTGTCATTTCAGAAGTGCCTCATCAGATCAGAGGTCCCCCCTCACATCAGAAGCCCCTCTTTAACATCAGAGGTTCCCCTATCACATTTAAAGTTTGCCATCACTTTAGAAGCCCCCCCCCATCATCACATCAGAGGTCCCCCGTCTCATCAATGTCCTCCAATTACATCCTTCTTTCACACACTTTCACATTAAAGGTCACCTATCACATCAGAAGTGCCCCCATCACATCAGAGTCCATCCAGTTCAACCATAGAAAAAAAAAAGTTATAATCCTACACCCACAGGTGATCCAGAGGAAGGCAAAAAAACTTCAGCAAAGCATGATCCAATTTGCTCCTGCAGGGAAAAAAATTCCTTCCTGATCCCCCGAGAGGCAATCGAATATTCCCTGGATCAACTTTACCTATAAATGTTATATCCAGTTATATTCTGTGTATATAGGAAAGAATCCAGGAACTTTTTTGAAGCAATCCACTGAGCTAGCCAGAACCAACTCTTGAGGGAGTTTATTCCACATTTTCACAGCTCTTACTGTGAAGAAACCTTTCCGTGTTTGGAGATTAAATTTCTTTTCCTCCAGACGTAAAGAGCGCCCCCTTGTCCTCTGTGATGACCTCAGGGGGAATAACTACACCGAGTTCACTATATGAACCACTGATGTATTTATATATGGAGATCATATCCCCCCTTATGTATTATACATGGTGATCATATCCCCCTTATGTATTATACATGGCGATCATATCCCCCCTTATGTATTATACATGTATCCCCTTATGAGATCATATCCCCCCTTATGTATTATACATGGAGATCTTATGTATTATATGGAGATCCCCCCTTATGTATTATACATGGAGATCGTATCCCCCCTTATGTATTATACATGGAGATCATATCCCCCCTTATACATGGAGTATCATATACCTTATGGAGACATGGAGATCATATCCCCCCTTTGTATGTATTATATCCCCCATGGAGATCGTATCCCCCCTTATGTATTATACATGGAGATCGTATCCCCCCTTATGTATTATACATGGAGATCGTATCCCCCCTTATGTATTATACATGGAGATCGTATCCCCCCTTATGTATTATACATGGAGATCGTATCCCCCCTTATGTATTATACATGGTGATCATATCCCCCCCTTATGTATTATACATGGAGATCATATCCCCCCTTCTGTATTATACATGGAGATCATATCCCCCCTTATGTATTATACATGGTGATCATATCCCCCTTATGTATTATACATGGAGATCCCCCCTTATGTATTAATGACATGGTGATCCCCCTTATGTATTATACATGGAGATCATATCCCCCCTTATGTATTATACATGGAGATCATATCCCCCCTTATGTATTATACATGGAGATCATATCCCCCCTTATGTATTATACATGGAGATCATATCCCCCCTTCTGTATTATACATGGTGATCATATTCCCCTTATGTATTATAGATGGAGATCATATCCCCCTTATGTATTATACATGGTGATCATATCCCCCCCCCCTTTATCTCCTCTTCTCAAGAGAGAATAAATTCAGTTCCTCTAATCTTTCCTCATAGCTGATCTCCTCCATGCCTTGTATGAGTTTGGTTGCCCTTCTCTGTACTTTCTCCAGTTCCCCAATGTTCTCCAGTTCCCCAACTGAACTGCATATTCCAGATGAGGTCTTACTAATGACTTGTACCGGGGAAATGATATCTCTCTCTCTGGAGTCTATACCTCCTTTAATACAAGAGAGGATTTTGCTCGCTTTAGAAATCGCAGCTTGGCATTGCATTATTAAGCTTGTGATCTACCAGAACCAGGGGCGGACTGACAACTCATGGGGCCCCCGGGCAATAGGGGATCATGGGGCCCCTGTGTCCTTGCCCAAACTCAAAAAAGCCTATGAAAAAGGTACTAGGGGTATCTCATGGGGCCCCCTACTGACCCTGGGCTCTCGGGCAGTGCCTGAGTTTCCAAATGGTCAGTCCGCCCCTGACCAGAACCCTGATCATATTACATCAGAAGACCTCCTTTCACATCAGAGGTCCCCCATCACATATAAAGTCTCCCATGACATTACAAGCTCCCCATAACATCAGAGGTCCCCCATCACATCAAAAGACCCTCTTCACATCAGAGGTTCCCCTATCACATATAAAATCTCCCAGCACTTTAGAAGCTCTCCATCACATCAGAGGTCCCCCATCGCATTAGTGTCCCCCTATCACATCTGGCTGCTTTCATTTGGACACCTTCACATCAGAAGTGCCCCATCATGTCAGAGATCCACTCATTACAAAAAATTGTCTCTCATTACATAAGAAGCCCTCCATCACATTGGTGTCCCCAGCCCCCCTGACATCAGAGGTCACTTCCATCACATCAGGGTGCTTGCTTTTGCACACCTTCACATCAGAGGTCACCTGTCACATCAGAAGCATTACACCGCTTCCCTCTCATACTCATAGGGCCCGATCATCCTGCTCACATAGGGTTAATCCTGCAACCAGACCACACCTCCGCCTATTGATTGGGTCCTGCTGTGTAGAAGAAGGCGGAGCCAGAGCTGGACTTGCCCCATTGTGTTTGCCAGTGTGTGTACCGGAGATGTACGGACTGATCCTCCAATCAGAGACTGCTGTCTGCCCAGGGTCCTGGGTTTATGTCATCACTTCCCATCCTAGGGGGAGCCGACACTTCACTGCTACATGGAATACTGGCATGTGTGTGTATAGATATATAGATATATATATATAGCACTAAATGGCCATGTATGTGGACAGGCTGTGAGACAATTGTACAGAGTAAAGATACCATCATTCCCTCATCATTCTCTGTGTATGAAGAGAGGGGGACTCTGCAGAGAAATGAAGAATTCATACAAGAGGTCCGTAGGCCTCACAGAGAGAGTTGCAGCCTGTGCTGTGCCCAGGTGCCCCTAGGTGGCAGGGCCGAGTGGAAGCATCGGCTCTGATTACTGGTGTAATTAGTTTGTTTAGACCAGCATGGTCCAAATTTATAGTTCAATAAAAGATCAGGAAGAGGGAGAAAGGACCCCGCTCTGACCACCCGAACGATCCCATGTGTGGTATGGCCTCAGCTGTCATGCCGGCCACGCCCACTGATGTGTTTTGCCCCACCCAGCGGCCCTTGATCACAGATGATTCTCTGTGATCAAGCCCCAGGGGGCAGGGTGAAATGCTTCAGAAAATGCCCACTGATGTGTTTTGCCCCACCCAGCGGCCCTTGATCACAGATGATTCTCTGTGATCAAGCCCCAGGGGGTAGGGTAAAATGCGTCAGCAAACGCCCACTGATGTGTTTTGCCCCACCCAGCGGCCCTTGATCACAGATGATTCTCTGTGATCAAGCCCCAGGGGGTAGGGTAAAATGCTCAGCAAACGCCCACTGATGTTTTTGCCCCACCCAGCGGCCCTTGATCACAGATGATTCTCTGTGATCAAGCCCCAGGGGGCGGGGTGAAATGCGTCAGAGAACGTGGCCGGCTTGACGGCTAATGCCATTCCACACATCTGATTATTCGGGTGCTCAGAGTGCCATCCTTTCTCCCTCTTCCTGATTGCAAGCGATTGGACTTTAGTGTGGACAACGCTCCCCCTACATATGCCGGTGAGGTGACTTTTACCTATATTCCAGCTTTGAGCTGGATATTCTGCACACTAGCTCAATAAAAGATCAACTTTAAACATAGTCCCCCAAAGGTGTTTTTAGGTGTCAATTGCAAGCATAGAAGTCCACCCTCGCTTGTAGTAATAGCTTACTGCTTCCAGTCCTCCCCGGGACCAGTCAGCTGTGCAGTGTGCAAAGTTCAAACACAACAAGCGCAGCCACATTACACCAAAATAACTCAAATAGCAGCCCTTGAGCTTACGGGTGCCTGTGCCTCCATTAACCATTTACAGATACATAAGAACTGGACAGTGACAGAGAAGAACAGTTTGTCTCAGTAAGTCAGTAAAATCAATGCTGCTCTGGTGACTGGTGGGGTGGTGGCCTCAGAATGATCATTGACCTCCTTTACTGGACCACCAACCGACCCACAGGCTGACCGTCAGACCGATTGACCAGTGCAGGCATGTCTGGGAAATGACTGGCCAAGCACATTCTCTGCTACTTCCACCTTTTCTTTTCTTTTCCACCTAAATGCACCATGCTACTGTTTCATATATAAGCTGAGCAGTGCACCACTGCATAATACACAGGCACAGAGAAAGGTGGCACCACCCTGACACCTCCCGGCACTTTGACCACATTATCGGAAGGTGCAACCTGAGCTGCTGTATCCTTCCACACAGCAAAAAACAGTCCCTGCCTGGCATATACATCAGATGTTACAGGTAAATCATGATAAAAAAAGACCTTTTGCAATGGCCTCTGTGTTGAATATTGTGGTACTGAAATAATTTTTTAGGGTGCTTAAGAACACCCAAGAATCCCCCTGGCTCCACCCCTGTATACTAGTTAACTACTTTAGTGTGATCACTGAGTTTTGGGCAGGTCCAGGATCTTACATTCCTGGAATCATTATTGTAGGAGAAGAAGTCCATTACTGAAGTCCACAGCAGGACTGGCCAGGAAACAGTAGCGTTCTCCTCACTCAAATGGTGTCTTCACCAAGACCAAAATTCACCTCTTCAGAACACTTATCCTGCCAGTTCTGCTGTATGAAACTGAAACGTGGACTCTGCTCAAACATGAAATAAATAAGCCTGATAAATGAAAGAAAGTGGAAAATAACCACTAGACCTGCATGATTTACTTATGGGTGTTGCTATCTTATCTTAAGGTATTGATGTTGATGTAAATAATCTGGTTCCTGGCCAAGCAGCTTACACCCCAGAGGATCTATCTCCATGGTGTCTTGGATTGTAGTGTAATGTAACAAAAATGTCAACTGAAGTGACACACCACTGCTAAAAGCTCCAGATACAACTTCATTCTGATAGAAATCAGATGATAATTGAAAGAGAACCCAACATGGTTTTGGAGGTCCTAACAGGGACGGACTGACCATTTGGAAACTCGGGCACTGCCCAAGGGCGTGGGGTCAGTACGGGGCCCCATGAGATGCCCCTGGTAACTTTTTCATAGGCTTTTTTGAGTTTGGGCAAGGACACAGGGGCCCCATGATCCCCTATTGCCCGGGGGCCCCATGAGTTGTCAGTCCGCCCCTGGGTCCTAAACCATCCCTCTTCATCAAGGCTTGAGATTGAGATTCATCTAGCCCTCACATTCCTTCTGTACTGAAATGTATTGTAATTGTACTGTCTCCCTTATATTGTAAAGCGCTGCGCAAACTGTTGGCGCTATATAAATCCTGTATAATAATAATAATAATCTAGAAATTTTGGGTTGAGGTCAATTACAAACCCCCCACCCCAAGATGTAGACATTGCAGCAGGCTGTTGCTGAGATACTTAGGAAAAGCAACAGTTGAGGAATGCTGCCAAACCAGCTGCTGACAAGACCTGTGTTTGTAACCACACTGGAAGAAATACTATTGATGGTCTGATTCAATCCTAGTCTGTTTTTCTCAAGCCCTCATGAAGGGGATGATTTTGGACCATCAACACACGTTAGATATGCTTTCAAATGTTATTACATAAATAACCTCAAGGTCGTCTTTCATAAGTAAAGTCTGAGACAGATTATATGTGTCTATCTTTGTGATAAAGTAGACAATTTGGACAAGTTATGACCATCAACCTTCAGTCAAGGAACTAATCCAAAACAACAGTTTACTACTGTATGGTTTGGCCACATTTGCAGAATGAACACCTGTTGACTGCCAAATAAACTCCCCTGCCATGGGTGACCTGTCCATTGGTGGGTTGAACAAGAAAATTTGAAAAAGAAAATTTGGCTCAAACATATTGAAGAAGGTGGTTGGTATTTCATGGTATTTCAGAAAAACTGAATGCTTAAACCCAACACCTATGATATGATGCCAGATATATGGCTATCCCAATTTACACCCATAGAGTGTTGATAAATAGTCCACAAAGTCAAATCCCAGCATGTTTTGACCAGATGGGCTTCTTCAGGGGACGATTGGGTTTATATTCTGATAATTCCGACAATATCCAAAAATATACAACTCCTCTCTAAATAGGATTTGGCATATAGTTGAGAAATATTGACAATATCTCCAGTTATCTTTTTATTCACCTCTTCAGAAACTGATACTGAAAAGTCTATACAGAGCGGAAGCATTGACTCTGCTCAAACCCGAACCTTATAAATAAACTCGAGGTTCCAAATGCATGCCTGAGACAGATTTTGGGTGTCTCTCTTCATGATGAACCAGGAAAGAGAAAAAAATATTTGCTGCCTTGGTGCCATGGGGACATCCATTGTTACAGCTCTATGTAAGGAGTATGCATTATCAAAAGCTTACATACAAAACAGATGTTGATGCTTATATTTAGCCTCCATCATTGTACTCTGAAACCAAAATACAAAGCTTTCTCTGACTGGACAAGGTATTGTGAACTTAATACACATGAAAATATCACGTACATGAAAAAAAAACAAACAACGATTAGAACAATTATTTCATAGCTGCAAGCACATTAGGAGATTATTACCCTAAGCATGTATATAAGCAGTGCAATCACATCAATACCATATCATTATACCCAAAAAACAATACCACTCAATAAATATAGAAACCTATCATAAAATGTGAAAACCCCACCCAGTGAATAAAAAAATAAAAAATCACCATAAATTCATATCCACTCATACTCCACTCATTCAGTCCACTCAAGTGTTTAAATGAATGAAAAAAGTCCCCAAATTCAGAAAGACAATTCTCTTGGTGTGAATGTTTCCAAACCAAAAAACAAATTGTGTCTTCACCAGATAGTGACTAGATGTGAGCTTACTGGAAAAGAATGACCCCCTAACTACAAAGAAGTCACACACAGCATGGTATCAGTAAACTCTCCCCTCACCCCTCTGTAAGGTCACCAAAGTGTTCTGCGTCACCTGCCCCAGTACTTAGCCCAGTTAACTCAGGGGAAAAACAAAATGCTCCAGGGTAAAAATTGGCCACAACTTTATTAGATTAAAATATTGCACTTAGATTTAAACAGAAGCAAATGAGCATTGAATAAAGTACTCCTGCCGGCAAATACAGAGTAGTTTCTGGGTTAAGTCTGATACATGATGATATCAGCAATTGGCTCCACCCTACATGTTTCGTCAACTACGACGTCTTTCAGGCTATGGCAGAAGATGTGGAGATTGGGACATCACTGCCTTGCCTCCCCACCTCATCCAATAATAGAACGATTTGCAAATTCTCTGAATGGTACCCATGCCAAGCAAGCAACCCCCTGTGGGTACTATGCAGCAGGACAGCCCCATGACACTTGACCTGGAAGATACCGAGGAGTACTGAAATAGGGGTGGTTACTACAATGATTCTCCTCTTCTACAAGGATTGACCAATATGGAACATGTATACTTACATAAGTCCAAGTTGGAACTATGTAAACAAGCAAAAAACATACCTGGATTTCAGCTTTAAAGCTAAATTATGCGCAAAACTGATGTTGGCCCTTTTCATAGTAACAATAGCCTTTCCCTGTTGATGTGTGACCCATCACTGGCTGCTGCTGTGTTTGTTGCATATCTTGCTTTTACTCCTCCAGTCTCCTGTCAGTGCCCAACATTCCGGCTGCAGTACACTCAGTACACTGATCATTGAGGATCGCTAGCTCAACACCTCCTCTGTTCATAACATTTCTTTCATTGTTTTCAATTAATGCAAGGCAATCTGTGATTGAAGGAGGTGTGGATGAACTTCACATTCTACCTCCTCCAGTCACAAAAGATTGTGTATCACTCAGAACGACCTCATGTGATATCTGTAGTGCAGTTGAACCTACAGTCTCTGTGCTGGACATTCTGCACCGACAGGAGACTGCTGTGTGAGCAACAGAAAGATATGTCATAAATGCTGCAGAAGCCAGAGATGGGAAAATTTTCATGTAAAATCCCATGTACTAAAATCCCATTGGGTGCAAATATTCTTGTCTTATGAAACTGTGATGAAAAGCAGGCTGTATACTGTATATTGCTATGGTAAAGATAAAAAAGTCTGCTCAATATATACTTGATCTAAAGGCAAAAGTTTGCTTTTTTTTAGTTTTGTATAGAGTTCAGAGTGATTAGAACCCCTGTCATTTTTCTATTGCTGTCTCTGCCCCATTAAGGAGATTCGCCCTCTCTATTTTTCCTATTTACTATTATCATTGAAAGTGAAAGTAAAAGAAAATCCCACATTTTGGGTTGTCCCCAAAAAAGTAATAAAGGGGAGATCTTCCAATGGGGACACTAGTTCTGGTGACCTGGGAGTCCCAAAAAAGTCCCTTAATTTGTACGGATTTCCTTCCACTTCCAGTTTGGCTATGGGACAGGAAGTGAAGTCTCTGCAATGGGACACAGAAGGCAAAAAAATCTCATAGGGGTTAAAACCCTCCCTTACGTTCTCCAAAATAAAAATAAAAAAATTGCCTACAGTTCTACTTTGACCATCTTTTTGTTGCTGGGCAGGACTGCAGTCTCTTGTCAAATGACTCTGTGCTGTACAACCTCTGTTTTAGGCTGGATTCGCACATTTCTTTGGGTTATTTTATCTCTTTCTACAAGCAGTGTTGTCATCAACAGGCCCTAAACATATGTTGACCCATTGAAAAGAGGACAAAGCACATCAACACACTGTGCAGATGTAAGCTAGCCATGGCTAGACTGTGTATATGCACTGGCATGCTTTAAATTATATACACTATATTGCCAAAAGTATTTGGATAACCCTCCGAATCATTGGATTCAAGTATTCCAATCACCTCCATGGCCACATATGTATAAAATGAAGCACCTTGGCATGCAAACTGCTTCTACAAACATTTGTGAAAGAATATGTTGCTTTCAAGAGCTCAGAAGTGCGCAGAAGTCGCCAACTGTCTGCAAAGTCAATAGCTAAAGACCTCCAAATTCCATGTGGCCTTCAGATTAGCACAACAACAGTGCATAGAGAACTTCACGGAATGGGATTCCATGGCAGGGCAGCTGCATCCAAGCCTTACCTCTCCAAGTGCAATGCAAAGTGTTGGATGCAGTGGCGTAAAGCATGCTGCCACTGGACTCTAGAGCAGTGGAGGTGTGTTCTCTGGAGTGACGAATCACGCTTCTCTGTCTGGAAATCCCATGGACGTGTCTGAATTTGGCAATTGCCAGGAGAACGGGTACTTGCCTGACTGCATTGTGCCAAGTGTAAAGTTTGGTGGAGGGGGGATTATGGTGTGGGGTTGTTTTTCAGGGGTGGGCTTAGCCCCTTAGTTCCAGTGAAGGGAACCCTTAAGACATCAGCATACCAAGACATTCTGGACAATTTCATGCTCCCAACTTTGTAGGAAAAGTTTGGGGATGGGTCCCTTCCTGTTCCAACATGTGCACACCAGTGTGCACAAAGCAAGGTCCATAAAGACATGGATGAGTGTGTTTGGGGTGGAAGAACTTGACTGGCCTGCACAGAGTCCTGACCTCAACCCACTAGATAAGCGTTTAAGAACTTGTTCCTGACAAATGTGTTGCAATGGATTTTGTTGCATTTTCCTGTCCAGGCAAAATTTGCAACTAGATTAAAATCTATTTTTAAGTAGGTCCAATTCATACCAATATGCTTTAACCAAGACATCTTTCATTTAGGAATAAAAAGTGATATACTCACAAACATTAAGTCCATCAAAAATATCCAACAGATCTGATAGTGCACCTCCAACTGGATCGAGAGGATATCCCAAAGTACTGCAGATGTTATTGAGTTTCCAGGGTGCCCCCCACCCCGTCATCAGATGCTCTGATCCCCCAATGTTCAAACTGTAACAATGTAATCCAATGTTCAAACTGTAACAATGTAATTTATAGCCAGTCACACGATTAAAGGCTACAGCAGAGACTGATCTGTGATAGAAGTGTGAACAGCCAGGAACTGCACAGGCACCAGGATTTACATAACTGTGTCATCTCTCACCAAGCATCTCAGACCAAGAAGCAGATGCTGACCCTGGTGGATGCCTAAACAAAGATAGCTCTGTCCTACTGAAGGGAAAAGCAGATGAAGGTATTGTTGGGGTGAGTACTGTGATCTCTGGAACTGTTACAT